AAGAGAGGAGAAGAAGAAGGCAAAAGAAAATAATGATCGAGACAACAAAGGAGAAAGACAGACAAATACACTCATACGGTATGAGTGTACATACTGTTGAGCACGACACGACATTTATTATAGACGACGAGACAAGAGACCAAGACGAACGAAACGACTACACATGATGATGCTTGTGGATCATGATATTTAACGTGAAACTCAGAGTCGCTACGCAGCTTCCCCTCTCTGCCATACTGCGTACAAACACATGTGCTTGCGCGCACTCCCTGATAGCCAAACACCAACGGAGAGCATACCTGTTTGACAATGGAGTTGTAATATTCGCTGGCCGGCAGACCTTGTAACGTCGCTCTGGTCAGCATGTGTGATAACTGCTTAAACAGCATAGTCAGCTCCGGGCCAAAATTCCCTGTGCAAGTCGAGATGGACAGACGTACGTACGTGTGTGCATGCACGCACGCATGTATGCGAAAGCACGAACACACACGTGTGCATGACCACACACGCACGCACGCACACACACACACACACACACGTGTCTTCAAATGCACACATATACACACATTCACAAAAACACACTCATGCACCCACACAGACAAGTGCACAAACAGACAGATACACATACACACATACACACACCATGCACGCACAAACGCATGCACGCAAACACACACCCGCACACACACATGCACGCACGCACACACACACACCACATCCTTAGCCTACACAATTGAAAATACATACTCGCATCACCTGTGTACCTTACAAAAGCACACCAGTAATACAAATATGTGTTTTTCCTCCTCCAGCAGAAAAAGGGTGAAACCCCTCAAGTCTGTAGTCAATAGATCAATCAAAGAAGCAAGCACACACACAGGTGCGCACGCGCCTGTGCACGTGCGCACACCCACACCGCACACCCACCCCGCACACCCACCCCGCACACCCGTGCACGCATACACTTACGCGCACACGTACGCAAGCGGGAACGCACGCACACACACGCAAACACACACGCAAACAGGCACACACATACACACACACACACATACACACAATCCGACTCACAGTCCCGACGTGTGCGCATGACGGCATCCAAGACATGCACCAGCCCGTCTGGCCTCATGGCAAAGCGGAGAATCAGCTTCTCACACTCATCCTGGAACTGTCCAGCAACAAAGAGATCAAACGCTGCATAGAAACACAGAACACATGTACAAACAGTCAAACCAGAGACAAAACCGCTTCAAACGCTTAACTTTGTGCCGGCCTCGAGATTCAAGTTATACAGCACCATGGATAAGGGGAAGCCCCAGATTTGTGGATCATGTTTCGGGATACCCTCACTGGACGATATACCCTATATTCCGGAGTATAAGCCGGCCGCACTTTATCCGGGCGGTACGGGACCGGGCACTGCCCGTAAGTTTGAAATATCAGTAACTCCGAATCGCATATGTTTTGATGGGACAGGCCATAGATATGGCATGTGAAGTCACTATTTCACCCACACAAAGTGACAAAAGAGTAGTAATATTTCCACTGTGACTCGCCCAAAGGGTACCCGGTAGACCGAAGTGCACGTAACCTCGGGGTCTGGATAACCGATGTATGAGTGTATCAAGTACAAGCTACCTTCACTGGGACGGGGATTAAAGCAGTTAGATCCCGGAACGGCTACCTTACTTCCATCAACCCTTTTTCTGCACAGAGTTTTTCATAGAGGCAAATGATGCATGACTTGGGCAAGGCTGCAAGTGAGAGCAACACATACTGATCGATTTGAGTGTAGTACTTACACCTGGACGGCAGCGTGGCTAGGTGCTGCAGATAGAGCAGCTGCGCTATCAGGTCTGGGTGCTGGAACGAGTCGACCAGCTCGTCCAGCCAGATGCGCGCCTGCTTCTTCATCACGGCGCACAGGTCCAGTTCGCCTTCGCTGGTCACGTGCTGCGTGGCGTCAAACACCACCTGCTCGATGAGCACGCACAGCGCCGAGCAGTGCACGACGTCGCCGCGAAGCAACGTCAACAACTCGTGGTGCTCGCGAAGGCAGCGCAGGTACCCGACGATCGTCATCATCGTCTGCCTCGCCTCCAGGTTAGTGGTCGGGTGCCGCCCTCGCCCTCCGCCCTCGCCACCACCGCCACCGTCCTCGCTCGTGTACTGCTCGGCGTTCTCGCGCAGCCGCAGCGACAGGAACGGGTGGATGCCCAGCGTCACGATGAACTGCAGCAGGCAGCGCAGCGCGTTGCTGTCGTCCTCCCACAGCTTGTCACATGGCACGGCAACGATGGCTGACGATTGGCTGACGGATGATGTGCTGCTGCTGTTGCCATCGCTACCATCGCCACTGCCACCGCTAACGCCGTCACTTTTCTTCTCGCAGTTTTGATGCAGGATGCTCAGACACGCCACGATCTTGGGCAGGATGTCGAACGACAGCTCCATGAAGACGTCCTCCACCTTTAGCGCGCGTACTCCGTCGTCCTCTAGAAGCTTTATGCTGAGTCCGGCGTTGTGACCCTCGGTGCGCGCTGCCACCACGTTGCTATAGAGTAGCTGGTGCAGCGGGCGCGCTTTCAGCGACTCGTAGCGAGCACGCTGCACGTCCGAACACAGCTTGTCCACGTTGCCATCTTTGCAGACCAGTGTGCGAACGCACGACATCAGGCAGCGTAGATCCTCCTCCATGCTAGCCCACCGCAAACAATTAGCAAAATGTACTCCGCAGCTATCCACTCTAAGCCATCCCGTGCGTGGCCTAGGCTATAGTAGCTAAAGCACCCTCCGCAAATCCACTCAGCAATTCACATTCGATATAATTGCTACAGATTTGAAAATTCAATCCAAAGTGCGTGTCTCCGCGCTGTGTGGAGCCGAAAGACTACAAAGCCTTTGTAAGATTTCTTTCGCTTTGCAACACCAATAACAAATAGTCGTTCCGGTGCCTGTTTACAGAATGGACCTCGAGACGAACATGCCGTCCGTCCGTTTGTTTCGACTCTACGAACAAGCATGAAGCAAGATGCTTTTTGTGTTTTACAGAAAGTCAAGAACTTCAAATTTTGTACGGGACTGTTCAAAGGACGCTGCTTTTCGCGTCGTTACTTTTCCCCATGGAAACAGCATAATCATTGCGTCACGCGCGGGCCGGCGCCGGCCCGGCGGCCAGCCGCCGCAGTACATATCGGTACGCGGTGGCTGCCATGGCAGTAATGGCGCTCAAATTTTAGCGTCCCCAAGCAAAAGACCTGAAACGCAAACTCAAAAAGTCAAAGTCCAAAAAAATCAAACATGAAGGAAATGAGCCAAAACTAAAAGAAACAGAAAAGCTGACAGCTACAAAATAGCTGAGCTCATTCATTGAAAGGGGAAAATGGACGAGTTGAGCAAAGTCTTCTCAGTTGTTCGTATTCTGGTATCCAAGGACGGCAACGCTGATAAGGTTACGGCGAAAGCTGACAAAGCCAGGCACAGCGGCCTAAAAGATCGCCTGCTGCAGCAGAAACTGTTTGGCAACGTGGTGGCTGCTCGTCTTCATGCTCATGACAGTGAACTGAATATTCGCCAGTATGATGATGCGAAAGATGGAAAGGTCAGTGTGGAGGACCTGTTCCTCCATCTTGCTGACGAGCTGCTCCCGAGAATACTGGCGCAGCTGATCACGTTGCGTCAGCAGCATGCGGAGAAGAAGAAAGCAGAGACCAAAAGCGCTCCAGCAGGCAAAGCCCCCGAGCTCGAACCAGACGCCATTGGTGCCCGTGATATTGGCTGCCTGCAGGGCCTGCTTCAGTTCACCGTAGCGCTGGGCATCCATCCGTTCTTGAAGCTGCAGCTGCGTGCCGATGCGAAGAACTACACCACCCCGCCGTCGGTCAAGCCGGAGCAGCCATCGGTGCTAGCTAATCGGGAGAAAATGATGGCGACGGTGACGTCACTGCGACGGTTGCGCGAACACGACGGCACGGCCCCATTGCTACGCTCGGACGGCGTGCAGTGTGCCGTTCTCTGTGTTCTTATCGAGCTGGTCATCGACACCGTAACACTGCCGTCAAGCTCTGGTGAAGCGGTGGCGAAGGACGAGCCAGCGCTGGTCGAGCTGCGGGAGAAGGCACAGTCGTGGCTGGATGAGCTTGTGGAGTCGTTCCTCGGACCGCCTCTGGTGTCGCAATTGTTCTATTTGCAGCACGTTGCACAGCGTAGTGCTACAATTCCGAATGGTAAGTGCCTGCAGCCCTAAAGATAATATATCTGTGTGACTGTGTCTTTGTTTTAGCTCCCAGTGGTCTCGCCGTGCCAGAGAATGTATCTTAAAGCAATCATGCCTGGCACGTCCTCGTTCCTTCTAAGGACATTGCAGCATTCATCCATTACACGATCCATTCAATCGATCTGGATCCGAACTTAACCTGTAGAACTTAGCCAATGGCTCGCTTGTGATATGATTCTTGACTTTTGTTTTTATCCAAAGCAATTTCTCTCTCTCACTCACTCTCTCTCTCTCACTCTCTCTCTCTCTCTCACTCTCTCACTCTCACTCTCACTCTCACTCTCACTCTCTCTCTCTCTCTCTCTCTCTCTCTCTCTCTCTCTCTCTCTCTCTCTCTCTCTCTCTCTCTCTCTCTCACTCTCACTCTCACTCTCACTCTCACTCTCACTCTCACTCTCTCTCTCTCTCTCTCTCTCTCTCTCTCTCTCTCTCTCTCTCTCTCTCTCTCTCTCTCTTGTGCAGGTTGTGGAGCTCAGTTTGCTGCCAACTTTCAAGCCGAGTGCGGACGCTTGCTCTCCAAGGTTGCCATGGCATCAGGATGTGTCAAGCATATCATGGCCGCTGTCCTAGCAACACGTAACACCGGTCAGTTCACCGTATGTTCGTTTTGTGCGCTAGCAGTCGCCTAGCAACCAGTTTAGTGCAGCCTATGATTTGCTGAGCAAAAAACACAAGTGATTTCTAGCATCTTCTAATGATTGAACAAAGGGGTACTGTAAGCATGATCATTCTAATGATTGGGCTATGTAGGCCCTGATTGCATGCTATCATAGCCAAAGTCATGCTTACAATACGGTATACAATCGGACGTCTCTTATCCGGGCACTTTGGGACCGGGCACTGCCCGTATCTCAGACTTGCCCGTATCTCAGACTTGCCCGTATCTCAGACTTGCCCGTATCTCAGACTTGCCCGTATCTCAGACTTGCCCGTACTCAGACTCGCCCGGATCTCAGGATAAGTCATCTATCACGTACCATATCAGTTTTTGAGGACGTTTATTTGGCACGTACTGCACATGCTCAGAATATAAAAGAATCCCTTGATGAAATTGTGTGGATTACACAAGTTGGCAGTGACAAAATAAGCAACTGTGCATACGGAAAAAAGGTTCAAAATCCCCAAATTCGAAGTATTTTGCCATAGGAACTCAAGCTGAAGGTGCCCGGTAGAGGGACGTGCCCGCATCTGAGGCGTCCGGATTGAGTGTAATCCCAAAAGTGTGACGGGTATAATTATTAGCATTTTTATGGTGGCAACACATTTGTGGCGATATATCTTAGCGATCGAGGAATTTCGTTTTACATGCAGCTGCGCTCAACGACTTCAGTGCACGTTCAGCATCTGAAACGATTGTTGCGATTTGGAAGGAAAAAAAGCAGCGAGATTTCTTGCGCCTTGTAGATTCAGAATCCATCGGGACGTCGAATTTGAAACTTTGGCCCTTATGGCGTCTGTATCTGAACTCTTCATGTACAGCAGATGCTTGGGCGGTACTTTTCGGCTGCTTTGTGCAGTTGCTTGCATGTGGCAGTATTCACTGATCAAAAATTATGATCCAACGCCGTCTGATTCCTTTAAATTTACGTAATTGGTTATGCAGGGACTAATTTACTTCAAAAAAACTGTGTAGCAATAATTGCTACACACCCCGACTGTTTTGACGGCTACAGATCATACACCTCGGCGAGGATCGACACTCATGAATTGCTGTGGTGTTGGCTCGAAGAGCACTGGATTATTCCAACAAACTACAATACATGCAAAGAAAAACTCTCTCGAAACAAAAAGGCAGCGCAGCCAAACAAAGGTACAGCTAAAACCTCATGCCGCACGCACAAGAACACAACAACCAAAAAAGGCTACACGGTGCCAAGGCTGGCTCAGTGAAACCGATCGCAGCGGAACCTAAAAGGTAGCCCGCTGTACAACTATTACTTCGATATTACATCAGGCATCAAGGTGCCCCCAAGGGGAGCACATGAAGACAGTAAGATGCCAGGAGATAAAGGTCAAATCACAGAGAACCGACAGCATGACCGCAATGGCAATCAGGAAGAGAAAGCAGATCGCAACTGAACATGACATGAACGTGTAGACTGAACTCCGTGGCATTCTCGCCACGCCATTCTCCCCTTCCTGATGTGTCTACGGAGAGATACATCACCAACACTCGAAGCGGAAAATGAAAGAAAAACAGAAAAAATTGCCTGAGTTGCTAGTGTTAGTGGCAGAAGTAGTACTGCTAGTGCTGAACTGAAGCGCTCTGTCTCCGAGACTGAGGCCCGCTACGTCTGCTCTAACTTTTACTTCACTGGCACTGGCCTGAGCACCAGCTTCTCTGATCGCTGTGTGCTCCATATCCACAGTACTACTACTATCTGTCTGCAGCGCTAGCGACTCCACTCCGTACTCAAATTCCCGTGCTCCACCAGCATGTTCATCGCGTTCATCAGCGCTGTTCTGATCGACAAGAGCAGTGTGCCTATCCAGGTAAGCTCGCAGTTTGTAGATTTGAGTTTTTCTGGACGGACTTCCAAAACGTGTACTGGGCGTGACAAAACTGCTGTATTGCCGACAGAAGTCCGCACTTCGTTCCATCGCGGACGTATACTTCTCTTCTGTTTGCTCCGCATCCTCAGATAACTTGCGTAATTCTCCCAGACAGTCTGGGGTCTGCTGAACATAACTTGCCAGGGTCCTGGTGACTCCTGCAAGTTCGTCCATGGCTCCTTGCAGCAAGGAAACTGCTTTCAGTACCGTTGCCTTGTCCGGCAGAGGTCGCGTGTCGACATCTACCAAGACCAACAGCCCACGGCTCGCATTCGTGAGCTGCGTCTTCGCTGCCGACTTCCGCAGCTTCAGGAGCTCGATCTCACGCTCCATATCATGGCATTCCTCCGAGGATGCCATTCTCAGGCGAGGATCCTAACCTAACGACAAACCATCCTCTGCTACCAAATGTTTTGACGGCTACAGATCATACACCTCGGCGAGGATCGACACTCATGAATTGCTGTGGTGTTGGCTCGAAGAGCACTAGATTATTCCAACAAACTACAATACATGCAAAGAAAAACTCTCTCGAAACAAAAAGGCAGCGCAGCCAAACAAAGGTACAGCTAAAACCTCATGCCGCATGCACAAGAACACAACAACCAAAAAAGGCTACACGGTGCCAAGGCTGGCTCAGCGAAACCGACCGCAGCGGAACCTAAAAGGTAGCCCGCTGTACAACTATTACTTCGATATTACATCAGGCATCAAGGTGCCCCCAAGGGGAGCACATGAAGACAGTAAGATGCCAGGAGATAAAGGTCAAATCACAGAGAACCGACAGCATGACCGCAATGGCAATCGGGAAGAGAAAGCAGATCGCAACTGAACATGACATGAACGTGTAGACTGAACTCCGTGGCATTCTCGCCACGCCACCGACGTTTGCATAGCAACGCAACAATTTTGCATAGCAGTTTTTTTTCCGTCGACAATGCCGTGCTGTAATTCCTCAAACCACGAAGCGAGGATGCCTTCTCCCTGCACATCTTGCAAAATATATTGGTCACAGTTCCACCACTCGACTCTGCACGAATCCATTCTTTTTTGGGATCAAATTCAGCAATCCACTTATCCACAGTACCTTGCTTCACAGACTTGTCGGCAGTGAAGAGGCTTCATCGATAAGGCAAGCAGAATTTTACAAAGATAAGTCCTGAACGGTCGAGACGCCTACTGCTAGTGAAGGAACGCGGTCTAAATCTCAAAAGCAGGTGAGGTACTTGTCGACACTCGCCTCATGCTTCCTGGGCTGCACTTCAAGTAAGTTAGTTAGTTTCCAAGTGCACGTGCTGCAGTGCGCGGAGAAAGTGCGACATATGGACATGGTCCCGCGGCCCGCGCGTGTGTATCGTGTACTTCCTCCGCCCAGGCAAAATTTTCGCTTATCTCCTTCAGCCCAATGACAGGTGTCTGACAGCAATTTTTGCATCTTGTGCACTTCACCATCACACACATCTGCTGGTTCAGGCGTACCAGTTCCAAACAAGTCGGCGAAGTCGGCAAAGAGTAAAGAAACACCTAGAGTAGAGCGCGTTGAACGTGAGTGAACTGGTAAAAAAAAGAACACGAAGTCAGTCACTGGTCAAGCTGGGTGCTGCTAGAGTACCACTGGGCACTGGAGTACAGAGCAGAGGTGTCATGTTGCGAAAAGCCAGCGTGTTTGATTGCATCCGGCACAAGATGTGTGTACAGTAAAAATGCACGTGAGCTTGAAGCTGAGAAAGCCACTCAGCGATGCTCGCCCACATACTGCAAAATGAACCAGAATCGGCACTTGTAGGGGGAAAAGAAAGGCTTCGATGACAGGGTTGTCACTTACCCAGCTCATTCGCCTGTTGTCAACGTGAACGATCCTGCAAAGTGACACTGATCTCGTCAGCTTCGGCTGGTAAGAAACACGACCGATCGTACCCATGAAGGAGGTGAAGCGCTGGGAAAAGTGTCGATACGAAAATATTTTGCGCTTCTTGAAAGTGCGAAGTACTACCCGACAACACGTGCTGCGTCGGCTGATGAAGAAGGATTACTTCTACATTTTTCGACTTGGAGAGTTTCTCTTGATGTTCAACGACTCCTCAACTCATTCTGAGTCGTTATAAGCCGTTCTGAGAACCTGGAAGGTATCAGTAAAAAGTGTAAAGATAAGCGAAAATTTTGCTTGGGCGGAGGAAGTAGAATCTACCTGCAGTGCAGGCTGGACAACCACACACACACACAGTCTAATCTAGTCACAGTGCATGCCGCGCCATCTCGTGGCGCCTAACCGACCACACACACACTGTAAAGCTACACATGTGCATGCGCTACGCGTGCACTACAAGTCTATGCCCAGGGCCATGCTAACATGCATGTTGTGTCGCAGTTTACCGCGACTCACTACGAACTTCGAATCGCAGACACTGTGTTTTGCGTCGCAAACTGCGATGCGATACCGGTTAAATTAGTCCCTGGGTTATGGCTGGGAGATGGCTAGTGTGTAAGGCGTTTGTGCAAAATATTGTCATTGTCAGTGCCCTTGTGTTCTTTTTATCTTTTGCCCATTTTGATTGCTTGTGGCAAGAGTACATGAAACCCAGAGTGGGCAGCTTGTGACTTTTTCTGTATGTGTGTCTGTCACGGCAAAATTCCGGGATTGCATCGTATTTGGTGCAGATCTGAGGTGGACGGTGGAATAGTGCGTACAACTGAGCTGGAGTTGTGCAGAAAGAGACCCGCTTGAATCCTGCTTGTACGCGCTGAATCTCTAAAAATGATGTTATCACGGAATTACGCAATGACAGCTACCCATCAGAGCTGCACACTCTGGGTGTCATGAACTCTTCGCTTGTGGTGGGAGTCTGCTGTGCTTTAGCCTCTCATTACAACTCGTCCCCAGCTTGTGGTGGGAGTCTGCTGTGCTTTAGCCTCTCATTACAACTCGTCCCCAGCTTGTGGTGGGAGTCTGCTGTGCTTTAGCCTCTCATTACAACTCGTCCCCAGCTTGTGGTGGGAGTCTGCTGTGCTTTAGCCTCTCATTACAACTCGTCCCCAGCTTGTGGTGGGAGTCTGCTGTGCCTTAGCCTCTCATTACATCTCGTCCCCAGCTTGTGGGTGTGTTGTTGGTTCAGAGGGTCCGATGAAGAACGTTTCTGTACCAGCTTGGACAAGAGTCCAGTCAAAGTCATCATTAGATTCCGGTGCCCAACCTTGGAGCCCGTTTTCAAACATTGCTACATGGCTCCAATTCATCGTTTGGTTTTGTCTTTGCCTGTCTTGTTCTAGATGCTCTTGGTCCTGAGTTGCACAAGGTTCTCAGGTTGCTGGCCGGTGTACTCTCACGTCGTCCACAGCAGAGCGAGTCTGCATTGCGGTACTTTGACTCAGTTGTCAAGCAGGTAGGAGTATGTGTGCCTGTCTCCCAACCATTGCTGCTTTTCCTCCTGCTGCTTTTCCTCCTGCTGCTGCTGCTGCTATGGGTGGTGGTGCTGCTGCTGCTTTTGGTGATGCTGTTGATGCTGCTGCGGTAGCTGATGTGGTAGCTGCTGCTGCTTTGGTAGCTGCTGCTGCTGGTCCTGCTCCTGCTGCTGTTGCTGCTGCTTTTTGTGTTGCTGTTGATGTTGATGTTGCACCTGGCTGTATATGCTTCTGTTTCTTGATGTTGTATCTAAGAAAATGTTTTCTTGTGCATTTCCTGTCCCTGACATCACACGCATATGCACGTGTGTGTGTGTGTGTGTGTGTGTGTGTGTGTGTGTGTGTGTGTACATGTGTGTGTGCGCGCGCGTGTGTGTGTGTGTGTGTGTGTGTGTGTGTACATGTGTGTGTGCGCGCGTGTGTGTATGTGTGTGTGCGTGCGTGTGTGTACATGTGTGTTTGTGCGTGCGTGTATATACGCATATGTACAGCTATTGGAACTTAGTCGTGTAGAAGCGGCACCGCAGGCTGTTATTCGGCTTGGCGCCGTGTTTGCTCTGAAGACCATGTCAAACAGTGGGGCAACGGAGGTGGAGACTGCGTTCCAGCAGCATCTGTTTGCGCCCATCCGCCCTCTCTACGACTCCGAATTTGGTGAGCGTGTGTGTGTGTGTGTGTGTGTGTGTGTGTGTGTTCTTGACACTTCTTGTGCATGTGTTTGTGTGTATGCGTGTGTGCGTGCGTGCTCGCGGGCGTGCGTGCGTGCGCGCGGGCGTGTCATGGTACATAGTGTGGGAAAAAAGAAAAAAGACCAAAAAGTAGGGATTCGCTGACCAGAAAAAGCCACTTCATAGCTGTGTGATGTAGACCAGGCTGGATAGTGGCGGTCAATTCTTCAGCCTTGCAAGCTGTTGAATGGTGCACTGCAGTCCCAGCACAAGCTGCTATGGCTTCTGCTGTGACATCGCTATCATCGCCTCTGGCGATGGGCGTCAAATGGTCAATGGTCAAATGGTGTGCATGTGTGTGTGCGTGCGTGTGTATGTGTGTGCGTGTGGGACATTCTTTTCTCCTAGTGTGGTGCAGGTGAGCCATATCCAAACGACGAAGTGTGTTAAACTTGTGTCACAGAGTCAAAGCTGTAAAGCATGGGGGGGGGGGGGGGGGGAGGAGTCGTAGTAGGGAGGCCTATGTCATGCCATGTCCAAGTCACATTTTCAAGTCATTGGCCACTCAACATCAATATCCCGCCGGCCATTTAGTATACCGTGTTTACATTGAAATAGTGCATAACTGACTGCGAGACATGCGATTGCAGGTGCCCTGCCCCCCCCCCCCCCCCCCCTCCTGCTTTCATGTGCTTGTCATTTTCTGAAGAAGAGGTAGCGACTTCGGTGATACTTATGGGGATTGTGTGTTGCTTCCTACGTGGGAGCTCACGCTTTTCCTGCCGACTTGACTTCTCACTTGACTGACTCATTGCTGCCAGCCAGAGCACACGAAAAGTCCACCAAACTTTCGACTTGGCAAACCTGCAAGAAAGCACCACTCCCAGCTCTATACACGGTGTTCGGCGAATTCACCCCTCATCACTGTCATCAGTTGAGCTTGAGTAGGCTGAGGAAAGGTTCGATGGACTTCTCGTGTTCTGAATGGCCTGTAATGGACGTTTGTTCAATCTTCCTGTTCTCTTCTCTTTTTTTCTGTGTTGTATGTTGTACTAGCTGGTGATCTTCCCACCTTACTGGTCTCATCGTTTGGCAATGTCATTGTGAACCGAGAACAACTGGAACGCTGCATCAAAGCTATCCATACTGTAAGAATATGCTGACGACTCAAGTACAGTACTGCTGGTCGCCGAAGAACTGGAGGGGGGGGGGGGGGGGGTCAGCTTCACAACCTAGACCGTTCCTATTTCCATGCACTACAGTCTATGCACAGTTGAGTCATCGTGTATACATTGGTGTGCTATGCGTGGTGAAAATCTAGACTGGTCGTACTTCGGCGCTCCGTTCTTCGGCGCCCGACACCACTGTACAAGGGTGGGAACTGAAATGCGGCTCCTGGACTTTACGTAAAGAGCTAAAAACGAACCGTAGCCAGTAGTGTACATGCGTCTGGCATGCCAGCCAAGTGTGAACATCACTGGTCTTGCTGGTTTTCATGTTCTGCTTTTGTGCATGTTCTGCTTTTGTGCATGTTCTGGTTTTGTGCATGGCTGTGTACTACTGCTCAAACGTGTACCGTTATAATCTGAATCTCCCCATTGCTTACTGCGCGACTGTAACGATATGGCAGGCGTGCAGCACAGCAGTTCAGATAAGCATGCATGCTCTGCCCATGCTTTTTTTTTAGGCTGGTGTGGCTGTGTCGCGTGTGCTGTGTTGGTGCAGTGCGAGCGCATCACTCTCGGGGTTGGATTTCAGTTCCCACCACTGTAGGCTCTGCACTCCTAGGCTAGGGTTGTGCTTGATGGTATAATCTGGATGCGGAGTCTATTCATTTGAGCAACAAGAACAGCAGGTCACAAAAACAACAATAATAATAATAATAATAATAGTTACAGTTCACATGTCACTCTTAGAAGGATCCATGGGCTTAACGCATCTGTCAATGAAATCCAGGCAGAAGAGCCAACAAAAGTGGTCACCAAACAAAACGAACGAAAATAAAACCGAAAAATCACAGCTCGTGTGAGACTCGGTTAGGCTGAGTTTTCGGCATGCGCAGGAACACCACCGCCCGCTAGGATCAAGGCGAATGCGCACAAAACAAAATAAAAACAGAACGACCCCGACTGCTGCCTTTTTTCTTTGAAAATAATGATGTGTTTTGTGCCTTGCCTTGAAAAATAGAAAAAATCACGGACTTCATTAACCCTTTATGTACTGAAAAATTGTACACAGACTGAATTTGATCGTGACTCACCTCAAATTCTATAATTATCCGGGTCATAACATTAGTCTCCTTTTGACGATTTTTTCAATCTTGGGCTTCCTGGAAAGCTCGTCGCAAGAGGAACACATTGAGCCCACGCTTGCCACCACGAAGGTCAAAACGCCAGCGCTACAGCCCAGCGTCTTAGCTGCAACGCCAATATTCCGACAGAAGTCGTCTTGCATCAGCCATTTCGCTCTCCTTGCTCGTTACAACTACACTGTTACTTCAGAAAAATTTCACAAACTGCCATGAGTCCGTTTTGCCATTTTGAACGTGTTTCTACGTCACTGCATGCCCAGAATGATGGGGAAATCCCTCATTCAAATTTGCGCGAGCGGCTATTGAGCGACATTTGCCGCGATTCGACTTTCGAGCTTCGTAACTCTGGAACCACACATCGGAGCGCTTCAGCGATTGTTTCAATGGACAGCTGGGAGTTTTCTCTTTGACTTACATATTTTAGTTTTCGGATATAAGGCCACACCAAGTTTTTTCATTGTTTCTCGTCACCGCGCGCGTACCTTTCTTGATGATTGGACCAAAAAAAATCTCGCGTCCCGGTAAACACGCATAAAAAGGCGTTGTAAAAGCATGCCCTGGCAGCAGATGTGGTTGTGCGGTCTAGCCTCACATGCTCTGCCGATGTCGAGAGGGCCTATTTCTCGGCCAAGAAGGCCTTCAGTCCTGTCTGCTATGTGTGTGGCATCAACGCACCTGCTGCTACACCTGCTGATGTTGCCCGGCAGTATCAGTCCATTCACATGCCTTGCGCTGCCTGTGCCGCTCTGGGGAAGAAGCCCCGCACCCGTGGCCCCAGCTGTGCTGCAGCCACAGCACCATCCAGCAAGAAGAGGAAGCACCAGTGAACTGGACTTCTTTCTGCTTTGGGACTTGGTCTCCCTATTGTGTCATGCCATACTATGACAGATGCAGCTGTACATTGCTAGACTCGCCGCAGCATGTACTGCGCAGTTCATACGTTGTGACTGTTCGCTCCATTGTCATTGGAGCCTGCTGTATTCATTGTCTGGACTTGTCATGTCATGCCATGCCTTATCCCATAAGGTTTCTGTTTTAAATTTTAGCACAAGCGCGCACTTGGCTGTTCTTTTATGTACCCCTTGTATAATAGCTTTGGTTTGCTTTCTTTCCTATTTAAATAACATGCAACACTGGACTTCCTCACCAGAGGCCGGTGCAGGAGCCTGGTTTTCTGGCTGTATGTTGCAATTGACTGTCACGCGTGGTGTATAGTCTGATTTTAGGTCATAAATTGGGCCTTTGTAGTGTAAAATGTTGGTTTGCGTTGCGCAAACCGTAGTTAACCTACATGTCACAGAGCCGCATCTCCCGCATGGAGATGCCGTCCGCAGACACGCCAAAACCGGCTAAGTCTCATACGAGCTCCGCTAAAGTCGTACTCACTGCCGGGCTCCCGCGCGGGGCCCCACGCAAGCATTCGCAACCGCGATGCGCGTACGGCATGCCGTATAAGCCACCTATCCGCCTTGGGTGCAAGCTCACCCAAGGCCACCCTCGCAAGGCAGGAACACGTAAAGACACTCACCAGTTGTTTGTTGTGCCTGCCCGCCGCAGAAATTGTTCCCCACCCTCCCGCACCGTTTAAAAGGCAGGAGGCACGGGTGCTGCCGATGGGCGCCGCATAGTGCACGCACATCGGCACCATTGAACTATTCATGTGTACTAAGATTTAGTGTTCCGCTGCCATAGCAACCTAGTAGTACACGTAGCCGTTCCGACGGCGCACGACCCCGCGGGTCGCTTCTGCTGTCCTTGCCTCTCTGATGCGTGATATGCGTACATCATTTATAATCATGACCTCATACTGAGTACATGTACGTCATACTTGATTACCGATCACAGGCTCATGATTATTCATGCTGGAATAAACGCTTGCGACATCCCACAGGCTCGTCTCTCTTGTGTGGCATGAGGGTTAATAGCAGTTTTTGTTTTTCAAACCCTATTTTGTTTTTTTTCCGCCCGCCCGCGTTCCTTTTGAGATTTTCAGGTGACGAGAAACAATGAAATAACTTGGTGTGGCCTAACCCAGAAATGACTGAGTTACGATCGATTGAAAATTTGAAAAGTTTCGATCCCAGGGGATCGAAAGTTGTACAGTCCGTACACAAAGGGTTAAAAAACCTCTGCCGCCCGTTGCAGTGTTCTTTGTTGTGGTTTGTTGCTTGGTTATAAATGACAAGCTGCTGCAATTGTCATAATTGTCACCGCTATGCTAAGCATTCTCTCTTTGAATGCTTGCAGCAGCTTGTCCTGATGTTTCTTTTTCTCAGCGCCTGGTAGCCCTAAGCCCTAAACTAATCTTAAGAACTTTCGAAAGGCGAAACACAAACAAAAATGTGATCAATGGGCCAACAAAACTACAACGAAAGTCAACATCCGACCAGGCACAAAGCAATCAAACCAACAAACTACAAATCAAACAAATCGAGCAATTCAAAACTAATGAACAACAAGCATAGCAGGAACACCTTCCAAACTCTTTCACAATCACACTCACGCGCACGGTGGGTTATTTGTTCACGATGCGTTTTCCGTCGCACCGTCCTTGTCGTAGGAAGCAGCCACCCGCAGGAATCCCTGCCCACCCAGAGCGCCTTCAGCTCCGATGATGTCCTTCGCACGATCCCTGTTGTCTTTACCAGCCACTTCGCTGGACGTCCCTGCCCTCAGCGCCTTCAGCTCTGATGACGAACCGGCCACTCCTCGCAGACATTTCTTCACCTACCCTGAGCGCCTTCAGCTCCGATGAACCAGCCACTCCTCACAGACGTTTTCTCACTCAGCGCCTTCAGCTCAGACGAGTTCCCTGTTTAAATTGTCTCTGATGTTGATATTACATCTGCTCATAGCACTTCAGCACTTGAGGCTCCAGAGAAAACGCACTGTTACCTATCAAATATGGACGCACAGTGGTGCCATTCAAGTTGCGTTGCAAGTCTTGCAGCCACCGGCCAATCCAACAATGCGTTGTGGCAGAGAGCCTTCTGCGGAGTTAAGCAAGCATCTCCAACGCAACCAGCGTTGCCGAAGTCCACGACTGTAAAACTGACAGTGGTGATCTTGCACTGCCGATATAAATATGCTTTGCCTAGCCAGTGCATACAGATTGCCAGGCGCTTGGCAAGGGGGCACAGGTGTGCGAAACATAGTGGACCCATGCAATAGATCATTGCCGGTTTGACGGAGCAGGAGCTGAAACGTCCGCCAGTCAACTCTGTACGTACGCGAATAACGCATGTCTAGATAGTCATCAGCGTCTCCTGGTATCCCAAATCCGTCTGCAATAAGATGCCACTTCTCCACCTTTGTCTCCCAGAAGCCCAGTTGACTTGTAGTGAGGCGGGTGATCCACCGGCGTCGCTCTCGCCTCGTGGACCAGGTGGTCCGCGCCGCTGCAAGTACAATAACAAGGCCATGGCATGGAGATCGACTAGAAACATTCAGACTCTCCGGGCTCCGTGCGGCACAGCACGTGGACCGAATCCTCGTAGGCTGTTATCCGTGCGCTTGAATGCATCTACTCCGGGCTGAGAAACCCTCTTCCCTAGCACTGCTCTGTTGCAAAAGGGAAAGGTCAGCGAAGATAGCGGCCACACTGTCCTGTGGAAGAAAGACTCAGACAAACAATAATGTGAGAAAGTTGAAATGCGATTGAAAGTTAGTTTGCACTTCATGCCATGCAGTGAAAAGCTATAGCCGTAACTTTTTTTATTTTTCACTTTTATTTTGTACAACATAGGGTGATTCTGAAAGTAAAAACCCTCAGGAAAGCGATGCAACAACTTTCAAGTCCGGAAAACAACAAAAATTTCACTATTTAGCTAGCACTAATAGTTATTTGGATTTATTGCCGGTCGGGCAAACTGTTGCAATATGCAATAAATCAGATTCTTGCACTGGAGTGGCTCCCTCAGGTAAGTGGATACCAAGTCCGTTCTCTGGGTGAAGTGCAGGAGTGTTTTCACAGCGTTGTCAGTATTGTCCCAAGTATTGCAAGTATCGACTAGTGCAGGTTGCACGGCTGGCTGTACCTAGTACCTGTACACCACAACCTCTACCGTGACCACAGCCTATTCCACGAACGAATCCTCTCTCTCTCTCTCTCTCTCTCTCTCTCTCTCTCTCTCTCTCTCTCTCTCTCTGCCACGTCCCCTTCCACCATTAGTAGCACTTATCTCAGCGACACTGTCGTCGTCTGTGACATCCATGTCACTCTCACTGGCGCTGCTTTCACTCGCCATGTCATCGTCGCTGTCGGCGTCAGTATACATATTTTCAGCAGGATCGTCTGGCTCCACAAACTCATCTTCGCTGGATGAGGCGGCGACAAGGTCGTCAAGAAGGGTCTCCAGAAGCGAAAGAGCTTGCTCCTCGTCCATGGCTTGCACAGCAGGGCAGACAGTCGCGAGGCCAGCTCAAGCAAAAGTCGAAAACATCTGCAGGCAATACCGAAAGTCGCAGGGTACGCACTTTTCCCAAAGCGCATTTTTCAAGTCGCGATTTCCGCGATTTTTTCATATTGCATCACACACAAAAAATGGTTGGCACCCTCTGCGTGTACATCTTGGCTACCAGTAGGGAAAATCCCAGCTCTCTGCGGTGAACCAGTCCAGCGCTGTGCGCATAGAAGTCATCGACCGCGAGATGTGTACGTACAAACGGTAAAGGGTTAAGATGCACGCTATTTCTGACGTGACGCGAAAGTTCAGCTCGCGTTGTTTGGCTCGCTCGAGTTACCTGCAGCTCGCGTTGAAATTTGGAGTTTTACGCCAAATTGGACGTGAAATTGCGCGTCACTTCGGAAATAACATGCATCTTAACCGCTCTCATAAAAGGTTCAACCTGCCCCACCATACTGCACTTGCCACTGCAAAGTGTGCTTGGTCTTTGCTCAGGGAAAACCCCCTTCTCTCTCCCAGTGTAAGCGCCGCTCAATTGTGATTGCAGTTCGCTGTTTATCGCCGGACGGGGGTTTTGGTAGTCTGGATTCGCCCTTATGGCATGACAGGGAAATGAATTTATTTCACGACTTGCACGAGAGTTAATTGGGAACTCGTGGCCTGGCACGAGGGAAAGATGGATGCAGTGAATGGGATTTTCGGTCTTTGACCACTTTGTGGTGGGTCTGATCTACTCACCCCTCACCGCTTAGGAGCTGCACCTGCGCCTTGATCCAAGAGGGTGGTGGCGTTCCTGCGGATGCGGAAAACTCTGCCTTTGGCCGAGTCTCACGCGAACATTGATTTTTTTTGTGCACGAGAGTCGGTGATTGTTGCTTTTCCGCGTCTGTAGAAATGCAGCCACCCTCAAGGATTAATTGTTAAAAGGTGTCAGATGCAGTGACTCAAGTTCGGGGAAAGTGGTATGCCTGCCTATTGTCTCTCTTTGCTGTGTGACTCTCATGTACTGTGTGTGTGTGCGTGCGTGCATGTGTGCGTGTGTGTGTGCGTGTGTGTGTGTGTGTGTGTGCATGTGCCGATGCGTGTGTTTGTACTTGTGTTTGTGTATGTGCCGATGCCTGCATGCGCAATGTGAATGTTTTTTTCTCATCCTAATGAAGCTGACGACCGTACCTACGGGTGGACTGCACTTTCGTTTCTCCACACAACAGCCTGTTTTGACTCTGTTCTGTATGGCTGCAAGCATGCCATCCGACTCTCCTCTCAGGTAAGCGCTCCGTTTGTTTGTCCGTCTGTCCTCTCGGTCTATCTTCTCGACTGTGGTAGCTCTGTCCAGCCGTGCCTCCTTTTTTGTTGTCAAAGTCATTCGTACGTGAGCGTAACAACTAACAAGGAAGCACAAGTTGTTTTGTTTTGTTAGAAACCGTCATCGTTCGGACGACAGACAAGCGCGTACGTTGAAGTGCAGTAAAACCTGTCAAGGCGACCACTCGAATAAGGCGACCACCTGTCCTAGAAAACCACTGAAACGAGGACCAAGGGATGCTATTTCCAGTCAAATGACCCTGGATAAGGAGACCACCTGGTAACGGAGACCACGTTTTGAAGGTCCCTTGAGCGGTCGCCTTAGACAGGTTTTTACTGTATAGGGGTGGCAACTGAAATCCGACCCCTGATTTTCGTTCTCGAGGGCAGCACCGATTCTAGCGGTCTCTAATTCGTAGTGCAGTTGCCGTTCCTACGAGAACGTAACATGGGACCAAAAGTTCTTTTCCTGCTTAGAAACGGAGAGACATGAGCAGCAAAAATCAGTCACGAGCTGTACAGTGTGTCTCCGCGTCAGCGTCAACTGCTCAGGTTTGATTAATGCTGCGTCCAGCATCGAGCTTGCCGTAGTGTGACTGATGCCTGAGCTTATGTTGAGACTGGGTTTTAATAGATGATATGCCAAATAACGTGCAACTAGACTTGGGAGGGCATTGCACACAAGTTGCATACAAATTATACTACAATGTGTACACGGTAGGCCCTGAGCTCTGCAGGAATGCAAGTCACAGGTACCCGTACAACTTTGAACTTTGTATGCAACTACTCTCCAATGCCCTCCCAAGTCTAGTTGCACGTTATTTGGCATATCATCTATTGTATACGGTCAGGCCTCGTATAACCGCACACGTTCGTTTTCCACCAAAATATCCGGATAGGCGAGGGAACCGGATAATCGAACACACATACTGTATGTATGCAGGGCATATGCCGTAAATCGGTAACCAACGATTTTCTTCCGGATGGCGACGGATCCGCATAGGAGAGGACCGGATAAGCGAGGTCTGACTATATCACGCAGGTCTTTATCCAAACCATAATGTATGGTCTCCGACACTACGACAGCCAACAGTTTTGCTGCCCTTCTCCGTATACGTCTTGCCCACATTGAGATCAAAGGGCAGAGGCGTCTGGTCTGTATCCGCGATGTTCTTCTCGAACTCTCCAGCTGAGCGGATAGCGTTGTGGAACTTTCGGACAAGTTCAAGTTTTCTGTCAGGTTCCTCCTACGCTCTATTCGTCTTCGCCCACAACGAGACGTTCCATCTGCATTGAAATCGTCGAATCCTATGCATGGAAACTTTGTATTTGTATTTTTTTTCAATCTTGTAAAAAAAGAGATTAGAGATTACGCGGCCATGGGTATTAACCCTTTGGCGTCCATGGTTCGATTTCGAACGAACCATGGGCATTTTGTATGCATGTGGGTGCAGTCAAACTTTCGGTTCTTGGCCAATTCTTGACCAAATGAAACAATCGAAGGGTCTAGGTGGTAGCGAAAACTATCAGCTATCGCCTCGAACAGGTCCGAAGTCTCTCCGATGAAGTTTGAGTGAGCGGCGAGCGATCAAACATATTGGATTTTCTGCACTGCCTGCTACGAGTCAACAGTGCGTGAAAAAAGGGATTTTCCCAGCTTCACGACAGGCGGCACGTGCAAGGACCGGCGCGGCACGAAGTCACGGCAAGGTAAGCTTCTACTTCGAAGTACTCGAAAATATTTGAACAGTTCCGGGCTAGATTCGGTGACATGGCTGCAGGAGACCGATTTCGTCTCGGATCTGGAGCTGGACTCGCGTTTGGAGCGCGTTGTGGCGGACACTGAGTAGTGCTTTTGGCGAGTTTGGGCTCATTGTATTTCTCTCATCAAGAGCTTTCCAACGAGCCCAAGATCTTCAAAATCGGTGAGGTAGAACCAAAGTTATGTTGGAAATTGAGTGCGTATTTTCGTGACTGCCACAAATTCTGAGGAAGCAAAAAAGTTATGGACTCCAAAGGGTTAAAAGCAAGTTTATTGGGGCGTCGAGCACTGCGTGATATAGTAACAGACTGTTACATTGAGCGTGGCTAAATTATCCGAGTGTTTGTGAATAATTTTGAAGAGAGCAACAACGGAAATGTACAAACGACGATAGGAAAGGGATTCAAGAGAGCATAGCTCATACAGGTTTTCTTCTGATTCACGGTAATCAAAAGAGATGTGAGCGGCCTTGAGGATAACACGGCATATCTTCGCCTGCATTTTGTCCAGTATGCCATCCAAAAAAGCGCTCATACATGTACGAAATTGCTCAACAAGGTAGTCTTTTTTTCTTCTTTTTTTGGAACACAGCCCTACATAGAGACTTGTGGAGACAAACACAAAACAAGACACAGGGGATGTAGGGACGACAGTCTGCACTTACAATTCCCTCTGTAGGTGACGCTAGATGGGAGGGAAAAGTGCGACCAGGGACGGGTGAGAAGGTGGCGTCTTACTACTAGTCCGGGATCCCGATCTCGAAATCGAAAATTTGGGTACCACTTCGTAGGGAGCACAAAAACTCTTCGCCAACCCTTCAAGTACCTAACAGTGAGTATGTCTGAAGTTGTCGGACATCTCAAAGCTGTGTCATAGCCTCAGGAGAAGGGAATATATCCGACGACAAATCGACAATTTCAGGCAGGAGATATCGTAATATTTTTGGCTCACTGGGCGAAAAATCATGAATGCAACCATTGAGAGAAAAGAGGTCACGCAAAAATGTGAAACACCTCTGGGAAAGGAAGAAGAAAACGACGCCACAATTCAAAAACTTTTCAAAAGGCGATGCTCGGCGTGGATTTCTTTGAAGGAATTACTTGCTTCTATGCAACGTCCTGGTTTTTCGTTCGTCGCTGTCCTTTCCGAAAGTAGTTCAGGTCATTCAGCTCCAGATAAGTCTCTGCCGTGTGCCTTCCTCTTTCCATTTCCCCTGATGGTAGAGCCATAAAACATCGCCTGATGATACTACATGGTAGTAGTACTGGCTCTGTCCACTGATTGGACCTTCCAGCTTGGAAGGTTCAAGGTTCTGGAACCTTCCAAGCTGGAAGGCTGTTGGCTTACGCACTGGAGATGTGTTAGAGCTACATAATGTCCACACAGCACGCGCTAATTACCAGGCTACTGTGTGGCGACTGGCTTTGCAACCGAAGCCCGATGTGCCTACGCCCATCGGCGGATGGATTCAAGACAGCGACAGTAAGTTGTTCCGATAAATAATTAGCACCGGTAATGTACCCAACTTTGGATCAAGTTATGCATGAGGAAATTTACACTTGTGTAATTGTTATGGTATGGTACGCGTCTACAAAGGCTACAGTGGAGTCTGCGGATATTGAGAAACATACTGCAAGGTTGAAAGAATTGTAATTAGCAGATAAAAGGATAAAGGATACAGTGCTGCCCTTCCCATTTAACCAGATATCTATGACTGTCTACTGCACAAATATACGCGAGGAATAAATTAACTGTCTGTGACAATGTTTGTTCCCTCAGGCAAAGTCGCTGTGAATTGGACAGAACAGCAGGCAGTGCCAAAAGAACTTCAGAGCCTCATCAGCTGCGGGTGCCGAGGAGTGTGTGACACTCAACGCTGCTCATGCAAGAAGTCATCTCTTGCGTGCACTGATATCTGCCGCTGCGAAGCTGCATGCGCAAATCCGCTCAACAGTAGGCCAGAGCAACCACCACAGCAAAGTACGTCCGTTGACGTATCGCAACTGGAAACTGAGTCCAATCATGCCCAGCCAAACTCAGATTGCGACGACTCATGTGTGTCCGATAGTGATGGATCAGCTGCGTGTACGAGTGATGATCTCAGCAATGATAACGTTGATAGTGACAGTGCGTCAGTTTGAATTCCCTGCGCAGCTGCCATATTGTAAAGGGAGAAATTAGACATACAAGAATGAATCAAGTTAGAAAACTAACAGTGACAGCAAGGCCCTACAACTAACATCAAGAGTACATAACCAAGAGTGTGCAACTGCCTGCACAACCTCTATGCTGTGCTGCGACGGCAGAACTTCACATCACGTGACATGGTTCAAAAGGTTATGCTGGCAAACAGTGCAAAGTGACCACAAGAGAGTTGTACCCAAAGCTGGGCTGCGTACAACCCAGTATCTATCATGCACTATAGTGCACGGGTTCATCACGTGATGTGAAGTTCTGCCGTCGCAGACCCCATAGCTGGAGTTGCACACTCTTGGGTTATGTACTCTTGCTAACATACATGCCATGTGGCAATATTCCTAGATTTTGTATATGGATAAACATTGTGTCAGTACTATTGTACTACAGTAAAACCTGGTGTAAGCGACCTCTCGTTTTACCGACCACCTACGACCGTTTTTCCGTGCACGGACAGTGCTACACAGACACTGTGGGCTGGATGTGCGCACGTGCACGGCATCATTGCAGCATATCATCATAATTGAGAAACAGTTTGTGTAATATACAGTGTAGAATTGTACTACTTTTTAACGATTTTACCAGGATGCGCGCGAATCATTGCAGCATATTCCTTTTGTATATTGATAAACATTGTGTGTGTGTGTGAGATACTATTGTATTACTTTTTTGAAATATTCTTTCAGTTCATCACTAGAATAATTGTCAGTAGATTAATTATCAGTACATGATGATCTATTTTAATACATTTTACCTGGATGTGCGCATCATTGCAACATATCATCATGTACTGATAATAATTATCTACTGACAACTATTCTAGTGATGAACTGAACGAATATTTCTTGAGAGAGATGCAGCGAGGACACATACTGACAAGTTATTTTGTTCTTTTCATTGGATACCAGAATCAGTGTACCCACACAGAAGTGCATTGTTATTGAACATTGAATATTGATATCAAACGAAATTTATTTTTCAAGTTCGTGATTCAAGACAAAATACTGGCTCACCTTGTGCCGGGGAGTTGGTAGTATTCCATAGGATGGGGCTTCAGCAACTACAGCATTGGCTCGTGCTTCAGACTCGACACCACTAATAAGTAATCCTTCACTCGAGTTGAGACGAGCCGAGTGCTATTACTAGTGTTGACAACGTTTTTGAAATAATTCAAAAATACTGCACTGTACTGATGCATTTCCCTCACTGCGCGTAAAATGCTTCATGTGAGCGTGCCCAATCAATGCTCAGGTGCACGAAGATCTTGAAATCGGCGAGGAGAAATTGCCATGAAAACCCCCTCGTAGCAAGCTTATGGCACAGCTTTCAGGAGTCCGACAAGTGAATCCATGCTACCAAACCCCTTCCCTATCTAACTGGACCATGCCCAAATCCTCCTTCCAAAGTGGCACACCTACTGCGAAAAATTGATTTCTCAGAATCCGGATCCCGGACTATACTGCTTGGACAGTCGTTCCGTACATCTCCAGTGCTCCCAGATGGTTCCCTGGGACCAAGGGGTGATTGGCTTTGAGGTGACCCCGGCTGCGTTGTCACCATCTCAGTATCAGGTCTTGGTGATGTCTCCACACTCCGGGTCATATGCTTCCGTTTGAGAGAGTCCTCCCCTGGTGGAGCTCCCGCCAGAGCGGAAAGCACGCGTGTCAACCCTTCGAGCGACATGTTCGATCTCGAATTGACCACTGAACCAGAATGGCACAGTCCCACAAATACTGATATCCGTGTTGTCGTCTCGAACTTTCTCAGGGCGCAGCTCGCGAAACAGCTGCTTTGCCCTCGTCATGAACCACCAGCCTTTTACTTTGATGCCGGCATCGCGCTTTTCACGAAACTCGGCACGAAGCCGTTCTTCGAGCTGAGGCCACTCAGCTTTTCGTCCAGAGCCAATACTCCGAGCTCCGCGCGCTTCCTGCAGCAGCTGCTGCTCTTCCGCCGACCAGCGACTGACAGAGTTATGATGCGGCGGGCCGAAATGCCGGGCAGTCTCTCCTTTGCTGGTTGCTGGCCTTCTTGTTCCGTATGCAAGTAAGCACGGGAAAGTTTCTTTTCACGGCTGAACGATTTCTTCGATTCAGTCCTGCCGGCGATGTTCTTCTTTGCTGGAGGCGCTCGTACATCCTCTGCAACATCATCATCACGTTCTTCGTCCTCAGCGCCAGCTTCATCATCACTTTCGTCATCCCACTCAATATCATCATCGTCAAACTCCTCCAAAAACTCTCTCTATCGCAGCAACCATCTCTCTTCCATTCGTGTCTCTTCGCGTCGGACACGTAAGTCACTGACAAGCATGAAACGAACTCCGCTTGTACTTGTGATGGGTAGTCACACGCTTGCTTGGCCCTTGTCAAGAGATTGCGCCCGAAATACGTACTGGTCTCCGGCACTCTTACCACACTGGGCGCATCCATACTACTGGGTAGTGTGTGAACGATGCGCAAACAGACGCAATAGTGCCGATCCACTCGATATTAGAGAGGATAAGCTGCACATTATGTTTGACATGACGCGAAAGTTCCGCTCCTGTTAGCATGGAGAAAACAACGCGAGCGAGCTGCGTCTCGGGTCGAAATTTGGTGTTTTGCGTCAATCCATGACCCATTTGACGTGAAATTTGCGAGTCACGTCAGAAATAACGTGCACCTTAACCTCTCTAATCATACTTTCATGCTGCAGTTCTGACCCCATGTTCTGCATCGTTCTGTACTTGTCTTTCTCTCTTGCCGTGTGCTCAGAAAGCTGATATTCGAGGCGGTGAGCTGCGACGTCCTGCAGTGTGACACGCCAACGGAGCGAGTGCTCTCGTTCCTGGACCCGTCCGTCGCCTCCCTCGCGGCCAGCGTGGCTTTCGTGCCCAGCAAGCAGTACATTGTGTACGCTAGCCTATCGGCGGACGATGACTCTTCACTGTGGAGGGACGAACTCAAGGAGAGCTGGCCACCAGCGATGCCCACAATCAATCCAGCCATTGTTAGCATCACCGACGTCCTTGTGGAGTTCATCGAACCGTCTAAAACCCCTACCGAGGCAGGAGTAAGCTCTGGCACAGCAGCAGCATCAGCAGCCGCCACACCAGCCCAGTCACCGATGACGGAGGCGTCGTGGAATCGCAACGGCTGCGGCGCCAAGATCGTCTCGGGTGTGCTTAACAAATGCTTGCAGGACTTGACAAACTCGCTCGACGGCAACATTCAGACGAAATCACCGGCAGCGGTTGCGTCATCTGAGCCGCGGCAGTTCCTGGAAGCTGGCCTGGACGTCGATCCCGAGATAACACGTCGACTGGACGGCGACTTTGAACGCTTGAACCTGGTCGCTACCATCAGCGAGCGCTACGGGCCCGGCATCCTACCGCACTCGAGCAGCACTCTACTGGACTTTGCCGGTCAGGGTCTGGCGGCGGCTGCCTTCATCCTCGACCCCGGCAAGCTCAACTCGGCAATGTTGGAATCGGTCAGCGAGCCGAACGGGCAGACGCGCATAGTAGGACACATGAACGGTTGGACTATCAACGTGTTTGCTGCGCAGATCTGGTCTTCGGTTGCCATACAGCTGTGCCTGGCATTGCTGTCCCATCACCTGGAGATGGATGTGAAGGTTAGTTGGTGCAACAGTCGCAGTGCTGCATACTGCTGACAGGATGCCTGTGCTACGTGTGTGGTGGGGTGGGGATAGGCTATGTATGTGTGGTGGGGTGGAGATAGGCTACGTGTGTGTGGTGGGGTGGGGATAGGCTACGTGTGTGTGGTGGGGTGGGGATAGGCTATGTATGTGTGGTGGGGTGGGGATAGGCTACGTGTGTGTGGTGGGGTGGGGATAGGCTATGTGTGTGTGGTGGGGTGGGGATAGGCTACGTGTGTGTGGTGGGGTGGGGATAGGCTACGTGTGTGTGGTGGGGTGGGGATAGGCTATGTGTGTGTGGTGGGGTGGAGATAGGCTACGTGTGTGTGGTGGGGTGGAGATAGGCTATGTGTGTGTGGTGGGGTGGGGATAGGCTATGTATGTGTGGTGGGGTGGAGATAGGCTACGTGTGTGTGTGGTGGGGTGGGGATAGGCTACGTGTGTGTGGTGGGGTGGGGATAGGCTACGTGTGTGTGGTGGGGTGGAGATAGGCTATGTGTGTGTGGTGGGGTGGGGATAGGCTACGTGTGTGTGGTGGGGTGGAGATAGGCTATGTGTGTGTGGTGGGGTGGGGATAGGCTATGTATGTGTGGTGGGGTGGAGATAGGCTACGTGTGTGTGGTGGGGTGGAGATAGGCTATGTGTGTGTGGTGGGGTGGAGATAGGCTAGGTGTGTGTGGTGGGGTGGGGATAGGCTAGGTGTGTGTGGTGGGGTGGGGATAGGCCTAGGTGTGTGTGGTGGGGTGGGGATAAGTTAGGCTAGGTGCGTGTGGTGGGGTGGGGATAGGCTACGTTTGCATTGCGGGTTGATTCTCATAGCGTCACCAGCTGTGTGGATCAGGTAGTTCTCTGGTGCTGCTAGTCTTGGTCTGTTTCATTTAGATCATTCAGATCTTGTCCGCTATCATTGCTGTAAGAGAATCCGTGGGTGTACATCCAGTGCCTTTGCAAATTTGCGTGCTTCTCTTGTGACGGGTGCACATGGTGCATGGTGTGTGTTTGTCGGATGTAGATCCTCAGTATCAGTTATCTGATGATTGCCTAGCGGCCTGGACCTCAGAGTTACAACCAACCTGAACGTCCTGCGCTGAGTCTGCTATGCTCTAAGCTCTGTCTATGGCATTCAGCACGCTCTGCAGCTCGGGGGATCAACGGATTTGTGTTTGTTCCTTGATAACTGTATCTGTATGCGCCGTGTTCCCTCTAGTTTGGTGACTGTGAGGTCGTCAAGCGCATCGTGCAGTCGCTGCAGGTCATTGCCAATCACCATGACGACCAGGGCATACGCGATCACTGCCTGGAGGTGCAGGTTGCCGCGTCGACGTACATCACCCTGGCCTGCATTGCCGACTCCAGCTGGGCCACGAGTGGTAGTGGTGCTGCTGCTGCTGCGGGCGGTGATGGCGAAGGCGCTGATGGTGTCGATAGCGCCACCGCGGGCCTTGAGCAGCTCTTGAGCAGCTTGCAGGCTGGCAATCTGGACGCGGTCAGCGAGCAGCTGGGCAAGAGGGCGGCCAAGGCCGGCAAGAAGAACACGGCAGGTAGGGTGTGCATGTGTGTGTGTGTGTGTGCGTGCGTGCGTGTGTGTGTCCCATATGGTGCAGTGGTATGTGCAGTTGATTTCCAATCGAGAGGTTGTAGGTTCACATCCAAACGACTATAGTCACACACGTCTTTCTTCTCTTTCTCATACTCCTCCTGACTTTTCTTTCATTCTCCTGGGTGGTTACCAACAGCCAGTGCATGGCGGAGTATGTGGTGTGATGTGTTTGCGGAAAGAATGAAAAAGGTCCGAAAAGTATTGATTCGCTGGCCAGAAAAAAGCCACTTCACAGCTGTGTGGTGTAGACCTGGCTGAGTAGTGGCGGTCAATTCTTCAGCCTTGCAAGCTGTTGAATAGTGCAATCCCAGCACCAGTTGTTCTGGCTTCTGCTGTCGCATCGCTATCATCGCCTCCTGCAATGGGCGTCGAAAGGTCAAAAGGTGTGTGTTAAAAGACTTCTCTGTCTGAAATGAACAATGTACGTTTTATGGATGACAAAAGAACTTTTGCAACTAACCCTTATAGGGATTTCACACTCGTGGGGGAAAGTTCCGATTTCGGCATAGTTGCCGGGGTGATCATGATGATTCACGAGAAAAAGGCTGGTACTTGCCCGAACAGCACCCATAGTCGAGTTGCACAGGAGGTTATGCACTCTTGATGCTATCATCCTCTACGCCATTGTTTGATTACTTAGGGCGCGTTCAGACTACCGATAAAAAGTGACCGATTGGGAAAGTCGCCAAGGTGATTTGATCACGTGACGTTACTGGCACGTTACCGGTGGGAAAGTTTTACTGCCGCGGCTGCTGCGGCAGTAAACTTTTACCGCCAGTAAAAAAGTGCTCAGGCTGCATGCGCGCTGGGAAAAAAGGGAAAATCCCTTGTCAGTGCCGCGGTGAGAGCTGAAAACTTCACGGTAACGTTAGTTTGTTATCGGTAGTGTGCATGTCCTTCATGGTTTATCGGCATTCACGGTTTGACGGGGTTCACGGTAGTCTGAACGCGCCCTTAACACAGCTTACACTCTGCAGCTTGTACAGTGTGGTCTGTGTTCCTACAAAATACCCAGGATAAAATATTTCGTGAAGTTTTTTTTTCCTTTTTTTCTACAAAATCCACATATCTCCAGACACTGGGGTGAATAATGGAGTGTGGTGGCGGGGCCCATTAAGCTCCGCCGACCAGAGGTCTCGGCTTCATAGCTCCATGGACGCACCAAAGGGGAAAAGTGTGTGGGTTACAGCGAGGGCTGCGTCCCACCCGCCTGCATGGATTACAGGAAGGGGAAGTCTGAAGAAAATGTTGAACGGTCTCTGCTGGGATGACGGCTACACCATAGCTCAGTGGTTAGAGCATCGCTAGCTGCAAGCGAAGGTCCCTGGTTCGAATTCTGCTGGTGACAGTCAATTTTTTCTTCAGACTTTTCCCGTTTGTGTCTTTCCCTCAAACCAGTGGATAGAACATTTTTGAACATTCACGGTTGGCGTTTTAGCACCCAGTGCCCTGAAATTTCACAATTGTTCCTATCTTCAACACCAGCTTGTGTTACATACTGTACACCCAGAATAGCTTGCGCCTGTTTTAGTTCGCGAATTGCGATGCCAGACCATTTTGCGCCTGCAAACGTTTGCGATTGGAGTCAATCTAAGAAAACCCTGCAATCCCCACGCAAAGTGGTCATTGGCTACCCCAGACCATTTTGCGCCTGCAAACGTTTGCGATTGGAGTCAATCTATGAAAACCCTGCAATCGCCACGCAAAGTGGTCATTGGCTACCCCAGACCGTTTTGCACCTGCAAACGTTTGCGATTGGAGTCAATCTATGAAAACCCTGCAATCGCCACGCAAAGTGGTCATTGGCTACCCCAGGCCATTTTGCGCCTGCAAACGTTTGCGATTGGAGTCAATCTATGAAAACCCTGCAATCGCCACGCAAAGTGGTCATTGGCTACCCCAGACCATTTTGCGCCTGCAAACGTTTGCGATTGGAGTCAATCTATGAAAACCCTGCAATCCCCACGCAAAGTGGTCATTGGCTACCCCAGACCATTTTGCGCCTGCAAACGTTTGCGATTGGAGTCAATCTATGAAAACCCTGCAATCGCCACGCAAAGTGGTCATTGGCTACCCCAGACCATTTTGCGCCTGCAAACGTTTTCGATTGGAGTCAATCTATGAAAACCCTGCAATCGCCACGCAAAGTGGTCATTGGCTACCCCAGACCGTTTTGCGCCTGCAAACGTTTGCGATTGGAGTCAATCTATGAAAACCCTGCAATCGCCACGCAAAGTGGTCATTGGCTACCCCAGACCGTTTTGCACCTGCAAACGTTTGCGATTGGAGTCAATCTATGAAAACCCTGCAATCGCCACGCAAAGTGGTCATTGGCTACCCCAGGCCATTTTGCGCCTGCAAACGTTTGCGATTGGAGTCAATCTATGAAAACCCTGCAATCGCCACGCAAAGTGGTCATTGGCTACCCCAGACCATTTTGCGCCTGCAAACGTTTGCGATTGGAGTCAATCTATGAAAACCCTGCAATCCCCACGCAAAGTGGTCATTGGCTACCCCAGACCATTTTGCGCCTGCAAACGTTTGCGATTGGAGTCAATCTATGAAAACCCTGCAATCGCCACGCAAAGTGGTCATTGGCTACCCCAGACCGTTTTGCGCCTGCAAACGTTTGCGATTGGAGTCAATCTATGAAAACCCTGCAATCGCCACGCAAAGTGGTCATTGGCTACCCCAGACCGTTTTGCACCTGCAAACGTTTGCGATTGGAGTCAATCTATAAAAAGCCTGCAATCGCCATGCAAAATGGTCATTGGCTACCCCAGACCGTTTTGCGCCTGCAAACGTTTGCGATTGGAGTCCATCTATAAAAACCCTGCAATCCCCACGCAAAGCGGTCATTGGCTACCCCAGCCATGTATTGCTTGGAATAAAACTAAAACTAAATTTGATGATCGACTCGAGTCTACAGTTTCGCGCCCTCTTACTTTCGCGACTTCACACCCATCGCGAAAATCGCGAGCATTTCATTATCGCAAAGGTTTCTGGGTTGTTACAGTAGCCTGATAATGTTTCACAAATGGACTTCGAAGTTGAACTCGGATGGTGAGCCAATTCAATTATGGTGGAAAAAAAAAGAAAGAAAAAATTTCACGGTTCGCGTGAGACTCGGTGAAAAGGAGAAGGACAAACATGTTTCTAGTTATGACTAACTGTCCACCAGCGTAACCAGATCACATACAGTCAGCGAGTGCGACAAAATGGCACACAACTGACAAGGAGTACTGAGGCATTCAGCGACCTGACACCTAGCTCTAACACTCCAACTTGGAGAAGTGTTGGAGCTTAGGTGTCAGAGAAAAAAAAGTGAAGGACAAAACTTACGAGTAATGACTACCAACGTAACCAGATCATACAAAAAGAATAGAATGGGATACGGATATGAAGCTCTGCACCCCGGTGCACTGAGCACTCTTTCGAGGACCACACCCAGCTTTCCGTGTGTAACCAGATCGTACGTTGGTGGACAGTTAGTCACAAATCGTAAGATTTTGTCCTCCTAATAACATAAATGGACTTCAGTGTATACTGCTGTGAACGCCCAGCGGCCTTTGAAATGCACCTCATGATACCCTGCAAATGATTGTGGGACAAGGGGCTCCTTCCCATATTATGCCAAGTCATCTCGTTGTCGAAAAAAACGAGAGCCAGGGGAACAAACGATCTAAATTTAATTGGGCGTAAGCCTGCTTAAACACAGCTTCAGGGCGGTGAGGAATGCAGCCAGGTGACTCCAAGACTAGCCACCATCGCCGCCCTGGTGGTTCTTGTCCTACTTCTTGAGCATAGAATCCCTACGGAGGCGGGTAGATGCCCTCGTAGCTTTCACCGTCGGCAAGACGAGGTCATTCTTCGTTAGCCTGCATTGAATTTCCCCAGCGCAGAACTTGCTGGTGGCATGGAACCGGACGCAGTGGGTGAGCTTCAGGGGGCTCTCTAGTGGTTAGAACGTCATTGGCGAATCCGGCATCTTGCTTTTGCCGGCGGTCCAAGTCATTGAGACTTGGCTTTGGGGCTCTCTGGTGGTTGGAATGTCATCGACGAATCCATCATGCTTCTGCCGGCAGTCCAAGTCCTTAGACTTGGCTTGACGCTTGACTGACGATCGTAGCTTAGTTCATGTTAGACTTGGCTTGACGCTTGACTGACGATCGTAGCTTAGTTCATGCTTCGGCAACCCATTATGACGTGTAAGCTGAGAGCAGTAGGATGTTCTCCGGCACCACACACACACACACAGCCAACTGTGCTTTATTGTGGAGTAAATCTCTGAGCATCGACCGCCTTGTGCCTTGTACGTTTCTGACTTTGAAGGGCTTCATCGATCGCCTCGCGCGCATCTGCTATAAATGAGCTTCATGGATTGCCTTGCTTTTTTTTCTACTAAAGAGCTTCAGTATGAATGAAGCGGCCGTAATCTTCCCACGATCAGGAGCTCGAGAACGGGATGATTGATTGAGAGCCTTGCAACCAGCCCGATCCATGCCCTGGTCAGTACCACATCCACGTGTACAGCATAATCGCTATCAACGAAGATATCCCAATGAATGTGAAGGGATTATACGCCCATCCAGTATAGATTGGAAGCGGTAGACACATCTTACAAGAGCACTGATTTGTTCGTGCTCAGGGAGGAAAATACTGTTTTATGGAACAGTCCCATGCTGTACAAATGTTTTGCAATTTCCCCAAGCCTCCGAGAGTGGTTAACGTAGGCCAAGCGTAATACCAGCGTTGGAATATCTTTCTCGAAATGTCCAACGATGATAGATTTTTGGTACTGTTCAATGGAGCCACAACGTTCGAGTAACCAAGTCACCACATCCTCGGATTTGTAACATTCTCTTTGCGGTGTATCTGTCCTTTGTCCGGAAACCACTTCGCCGAAAGCTTTGGTGGAATATCACAAGCTTCGTTTTCGCGCACAACCACTACGTTAACCAGTTCACTCGGTTATCGGGAAAGGTACAAAGAGGAAACATTTCAAATTTACACAATCATATAGGGGTGTAAATAGACATGGACGGAGCAGTACAAGGAAATTACTTCACACAAGTTAACAGTCATCTATTCACCCTTATCTGTGCTTGATGAGCTGCTCTATTTGTAGAGCCTTGCTCTCCTTTCCTTCAAGCTCCTCGGATCGAAGCATCTGTTGCTTTCGAACATCCTGCTCATAACTGAGGCGGAGTCCGTCCAGCTCCTTCACGATTGCATCGATCGTTGAACGAGCAACCATGTTTGCAGTAGTTTGCTCTATTGGACCGTGCGTCGATCCAGCTTGCGGTGTGGCCCGCATGTGGCCCGCGCCTTCAACGCCAGGATCTGTAATTGCTTGAGCAATCGATACTTATGATCGAAAGCCTGAGAACTGCCGATCGATACTTATGGTCTAAAGCCTGAGCACTGACGCTTCCGACAACGAAATGTAAGATTGAATACGAAGGCTTGACGAGAAATCGTTACCTATTAAAATGGCCTACCAGCATGCAAAGGCAAAGTCACGCCTCTGCCCGTGTCAGCACAGCCGGCGGCAGTATGCTGCAAAGGGGCTCCCGACCTTGCGGTGAATGTAAGAGGCCCAGCATCACCCACAGTGTACCGTATTTTACCGGTTGTAAGTCGACCTCCCAACCTCCTCCCAACCTCCTCGATGTCCCGGTTTAAGGGCATTTATTCTCCGGTTGTAAGTCGACCTCCCAACCCGGGGCCTCGATTTACCGGTTTAAGGGCATTTATACTCGTCCGGTTGTAAATCGACCTCCAAACTCGAGGCCTCGATTTACCGGTTTAAGGGCATTTGTTCTCCGGTTGTAAGTCGACCTCCCAACCCGGGGCCTTGATTTACCGGTTTAAGGGCATTTATACTCCTCCGGTTGTAAGTCGACCTCCAAACTCGAGGCCTCGATTTACCGGTTTGAGGGCATTTGAACCCCGGTTGTAAGTCGACTACCCCTTTTTTAGGCCAGTTTTTAGATCATTAAAAGGTCGACTTATAACGGGTAAAATAGAGTCCTACAGTAGTGCTCGACACAAAGTTTTATCACAATCAGCAAAATGTGAATGGACTCGGATGGAGAGCCGAGGAAAAATTTATTGAAAAGAAAAAGACCAAGGAACTACAAGTTAGGCCAGTTAGTTGTAGAAAGTCAGTTCCGTCGGTCAGTGTCGTGCAATGTTATCGCATGAGCTGATTGTTTAGTAACTGGTGGTATTAGTCGACATTATTATAGCGTAACGTGTAGTTCCTTGGTCCTTTTTCGTTTCTGTAAAGCAAAATGTGAGAACAACAATGGACAAAAAACTCAACGCATTCAACTACTACCTCTACCAGTACACTGGGGATTATGTAGAGCAGTGTTGCAGCTCTCTCTCTCTCTCTCTCTCTCTCTCTCTCTCTCTCTCTCTCTCTCTCTCTCTCTCTCTCTCTCTCTCTCTCGGGTGTCGTATTAGGACTGAGCTGATACCGCTTCTGCATGGAATGGAAACACCTTGTGTGCGAACCTTGCACGAATGCAATCAATGATTCAATGATTGCATTCGTGCAAGGTTCGCACACAAGGTGTCTATTATCCTGGCACTGGTGATTTTGCCTTCTTCATGTACGCATCTTTGTCGCCGCGTGTGGTGATCGGTGAAGCGTGAAACTCAGAGTCGCAAGCGGAAACACGTTGTCTCCTTCTCTTCGTGCGTGTCTTGTCGTTTGCACAGGGAAATCGACCAGCGCCGCCACCGCTGCGAAACCCAAGACGGCCGGTATCACCGAGGTGCGTGCAGAGTCTAGCGCTGCCAAGCCGGCATCATCGGGCGGCAAGCAGCCATCATCTTCGTCCCCGATGTCGGCCGACCTGAAGCAGGCGTTTGCGGAGCTCCGCGACCCTCTCCTGCCCGTGCAGGGCCACGGCTTGCAGTTGCTTGGCAAGCTGCTGCAGAAGCGCGATCGCTCTGCCCTGGAGCACGTGGACAAGCTGGCCGAGATCTTCGTGGAGCAACTGGCACACCCGGACTCCTACATCTACCTCGCTGCCGTCAACGGTCTGGTCGCAATTGGCAACGTAAAGACTTCACTAGTCGTGCCGCGCCTCTGCCAGGAGTTCATGAACTGCCGAAAGCAGGTATTTAAACACAAAATTGTTGATGATTTTCTCTCTCTCTCTCCCTCTCTCTCTCTCTCTCTCTCTCTCTCTCTCTCTCTCTCTCTCTCCTAAAGACCAAATCTCATGGGAAATGGAGGCGTGAATTTCGGTCAATGAGTATGTGCAGACAATGGATATGCAATGCGTTGTGTTGCGGCGCTAATCTTTAGTCCTCTTTGCACAGTGGAATATATAGTACACTGAAACCTGTCTAAGGATACCTCCGCTCAAGGGGCCTTCAAAATGTGCTACCCGTGCACACATGGTATCCTTACTTGAATCCAGTTGTCGGTCGACTGGTGATAACATCATAGCCTTGGTCCTAGTTCTAGTGCTACAGATACAGTGAATCCTGGCTAAGACGACCGCTCAAGGGACCTCAAAAATGTGGTCTCTGTTGCCCGATGGTCTCCTTATCCAGGGTCGTTTGGCTGCAAACAGCATCCCTTGGTCCTGGTTACAGTGGTCTTCTGAGGCAAGTGGTGGCCTTGTCAGAGTGGTCGCCCTACTTGACTGTATCGTTTTTATTTTTAAGGGCAGGTCGCCTGTACTAGTTTGCGGACGATCTTACCTAACGTATTTCGTCACTGCCACCCGAATTCGTGCTGTGCCCCCGTACAGGCTAACGCCCGCTCGGCTGACACTCGCCTGGTGCTGTGCGAGGCCATCTCCAAGGTGGCACGTCTGTGCGGTGCTCTGCTGCCGCACTACCGTCAGTTCTTCCTCAACAGCCTGCTGGCCGGTAGCAAGGACGACGATGGGTTTGTGCGTGCCGCGGCGCTCTCCTGCTTGTCCGATGTGGTCGGCTTGTTACGCTTCTCCCTGGAGTCCTGTCTGTACGAGGTGAGTTCGGTAGTGTGTAGTGTTTGTAGCAGCATTGTCTCTCTCCGTATTGTCTCTCTCTCTCTCTCTCTCTCTCTCTCTCTCTCTCTCTCTCTCTCTCTTTCCCTCTCTCTCTCATCTGTATTATACATGCGCATGCTCCTTGTAAAATAAACTAAATGGTGGTGGTCAATTCTCGAGCCTTGCAAGCTGTTGGATGATACAGTCCCAGCACGAGTTTCTATGGCTTCTGCTGTAACATTGCTGCCATCGCATCTGGCAATGGGCCTCAAAAGGTGTACGTCTGTGTGTGTGTGTGTGTGTGTGTGTGTGTCCGTTTCTGTCGTACTGTCCGTTCAGGTTACGTCCTGCTTCTGCTCCGTTCTGCAATGTGACAAAGAAGCCAAACCTCGCCAGGCAGCTGCACTAGCACTCAAGGAAATGATCACCGGCCTAGGCTCGGAGGGGCTCAAGGTACGCACTGCGTTTCACTTTAGCCTAGTCCAGGGCCTGCGCTGTGTTGTGTTTGTACTGTTGGCGATCATCTTGCATGTCCATTACACAACACGTTGGGCAAGGCCCATCTTTAAGTCTAAGGTGCCAGTGCAGTTGTTGTTGTTGTTGTATACCAGTGCAACAAGTATGGGTTACTTTCGTCTGCCAAAGCAAACTCAGTGGAGTTGCTTGGCTACCTTGATCTAGTGCTATCCCTCCCCCGCCGACTTGACATGACACTTGACTGACTCACGACTGCCATCCAGAGCACACGAGAAGTCCATGGAACCTTCCGCCTGGCAAACCTGCAAGAAAGCACCACTTCCTACTCAGTACTATCAAAGCGGTTTATTCAAACAATACGAACTGCTGGTCTACAATGCACTGTGCTGTAGGGGACTTCACCCCTCATCTGTCGGGCGCCGAAGAACTGGGGGGTCAGGGTTCTAGCCTAGCCCGTTCTTATTTTTAGCGAACACAGCAGTTTCGTTCTTATCCGATGGTACAGTCTTACATGTACATGTATGCAGAGTTATACGTCTGAGTGTACATTATAGTGTATATTACGGTTTCCGTTCTTATCTGCAAAACATCCAGCCTACACCGTTCTTAAAAATTGGTGAAATTCTAGCCTGGCCGTTCTTCGGCGCCCGACAGTACTGTAGGGGACTTCCCCCCTCATCAGATGACCTTGCTCAGGCTGAGGACACTTGAGCCAGTTAGTCAAGTCGGCGGGATAACGCGCTATCTCACATCGTGAGCAAGCAGCAAAAAAGCTGATTGTGTTGAGAAAACAACTTTACCTAAAATTCCACCGACAGAATGTAGTCTGTGAAGACAACTTGCGCTGAGTTTGCATCCGCCTTTATTGCAATTTCTGCACACCTCCCCCTTGCTGACTGCTGTTTCTGTTTTTGTGTGTCTGGGTTTGCATGCATGCTTGTGTGTGTGTGTGTGTGTGTGTGTGTGTGTGTGTGTGTGTGTGTGTGTGTGTGTGTGTGTGTGTGTGTGTGTGTACGTGCGACTGCGTGTGTGCCGGCGTATATGTATGTGTACGCGTGTGTGTGTCCGTTTGTCTGCTCTGTTCACTTGCATGCACACACGCGCACATTGAACGCGCAGATCACGGCACAAGCGTCTACTCTGATGCTGCGTAGACTGCGTGCAGCAGCCAGCGGTGATGAGGACGAGACCGTACGCAGGCACTGCATTGACGCCCTGGACGCCATCGATACAGTAGTGCGTGCGGCGTTCAAACCGACTAGCTCCGGTGCCGGCCTGACCAAGAAGATACAGGTGCTCCCATCGCCGTGACGACACCGTGGACACACACACATGTGTATCAACAACATAATGACACTGCAAATGATTCTACTGGATCTGCGATGAGAACACCTCAAATCTTTCAGTGAGTTTAATACGGCAAGTAAACACGCCCGTTCTTATCCAGGTGTTCAAGAAAACTGGCCTGATTGCCCTCGCAACACAAGCAGGAGTATTTAAGAGAAGTGTGGCCGATAGCTTTCCGCCACACCACTGTATCTGCTGAAGGCCGTCGCAGTGCTAATGCGTGTGTCACTCCAGCGCTAAACCGCGAGAGGATCGAATGTGTGTGTGTGTGTTAGTCACACTGCCCGTATCTACCGAGTTTATCCGGTTGTAGCACATTGGTGGATCATAACATGGCTAGTTAGTGGCAGGGAGTTTGCCGAGCCGCCGAGGTGTCTGGACTTGCTCTTAGAACGCTGCCAACTCGGTGCTTCAACGCTATGCACGCGTGTTTTAAGCGTGGACGTGCACACTTGCACGCCTTCTGTGTCTAGCGTGGATGCCGCCGTCGCTACCAATCTGCAACCGCCAATCAATTGCATCTGCTGGTCCAGTAGCACTGCACTTCAGCTTGCTGCCCGCACTCCTTGCACGTGACGCCGAATCCTGAAACTTTTCTCCTGATATGAGCGTGCTCAGCGTGGCCATTGTGCAAGTGTGACGTCGTGTTGCCACTGTTGTATGCATGATGATGATGTCATTGTCGCATTATGATGTCATCTTCATGTTCTGGCTGGCCGTGTTATACCACCGCGGCGGTGTTTGCTGCAATGCAATTTATGCCGTAGTGATGCTGCTGTAGAAGACACGTGATGTTGCTGTGATGCTGTGGCAAGATGCGTGATGCCGTTGTAGCACTGTTGTACTCCCCAGCACCAGTGATGCCATTGTAGCCTTGTGGCAAGACATATGACATCATCATCATAGCACTGTGGCAAGAGTTATGATGTCGTTGTAGCGTTGTGACATGACGAGTGATGTCATTGCACTGCTACTGTAGTCTCCAGCAGCAGTGATGACTGCCTTGGTGTGCATGTATAACCGTCATCGTCAAGGATGGTACTTGGCTGACATAGTGCGGATGTTATTGAGCCACTCAGTCTACTGCGCTGGAGCAGACTATTGGCACACAATGGACGGCAGTGCAACTCCTATACTGGCTAGCATCCCCTGGCCCTGATGGCCATTACGTCATTGATGATGTAATCTCCGCTGTCGCTGAGCCTATCCGCAAGTTGTATGTGATGTTAGCGAGCCATGAGCTTTGTGATAATAAGTTATAATAACCTTACCTCCTGATGGACCCGGCTACTACAGAAATATGAACAGGTTTCAGAAAATTTAACAGGTTTACAGAACTAGTGTTGTATCTGCTCACGTCTTGTGACTCCAAGTGGATTGAGTGTAGCACCCTGTTGACATTGGCTAAGCACATGCGACTTGTGCTTGTGCTCCGCTCAACAACATGTCCATGGTGGCCTGAGAGGTTGTTGTGCAGTACTAGTGGCTGACAATGTGCTAGGTCTAGCGGCTGAATGTCAGTGGCCAGCATGCCGTCTTGCTTGCCGGTGAGATGCTCTTTTCATTGTTATCACTCATCAGGGCATCAGTCTTGTGCTGGTTGTGATATCAGGCTTGACTGGCAATCATTTTCGTACAGTTTTGTTTCTTATTTTGAATGGCCTGTTAAGGTGTTTTAGGTGCTTTGCTGTTGTCCCCTTTTTTCTTAATGTTTTCAGTCACCAGATCTCTCTCTCTCTCTCTCTCTCTCTCTCTCTCTCTCTCTCTCTCTCTCTCTCTCTCTCTCTCTCTCTCTCTCTCTCTCTCTCTCTCTCTCTCTCTCTCTCTCTCTCTCTCTCTCTCTCTCTCTCTCTCTCTCTCTCTCTCTCTCTCTCTCTCTCTCTGAGATAGTTTGTCAGGCTCAAGTGTCTGCATGCGAAGTCGCTGACATTGAGATCACCAGTAAAACCTGACTCGTTGGAGGTCTGCGCCTCCTGTGTGCCTGCATGTGCATGGCCGTGTGTCTGCTTTTATATCCATGTCTTCCACTGTGTACTCGTGCCCTTGTGTGTGTGTGTGTGTGTGTGTGTGTGTGTGTGTGTGTCCTTGTGTGTGTGTGTGTGTGTGTGTGTGTGTGTGTGTGTGTGTGTGTCCTTGTGTGTGTGTGTGTGTGTGTGTGTGTGTGTGTGTGTGTGTGTGTGTCCTTGTGTGTGTGTGTGTGTGTGTGTGTGTGCATGCGTGGTAACCACCCAGGAGAATAAAAGAAGAGCTAGGAGAATGAGAAAGAGAAGCCAGTGTATGTCAGAGTATGTGATGTGGCGTGTGTGTGTAAAATAAAATGAAAAATGAAAAATAGAGATTCACTGGCCAGAAAAAGCCACTTCAATCAGCTGTGTGGTGGATACCAGGCTAGAAAATAGTGGCGGTCAATTCATCAGCCTTGCAAGCTGTTGAATGGTGTAATCCCAGCACAAGTTGCTATGCCTAACATAGCTGTTCGCTATCATCGCTTCCGCGATGGGCATGTCTAAGGTGTGTGTGTGCGCGTGCGTGTGTGTGTGTGTGTATCGGATGTTGGTGTGTGTTTCATCATGTGTGTTTGCTTCCCTGCACTTGTCCCTATTCACACACAGCCATAGCAAGAGTATAGACGTCATTGTACTCTTCGCCATGGGCGTGTCAGGGATTTGATTTCGTTTCAGCCCAGACTCAAGCATTCCGTATCACTCCTTTCCCTAGTTTTCTACCAGTTACTCTGTCGTTGGCATGGTGATGAGGTGATATACAGTAACCCGGGTTATGTACTCTTGATGGTAGGGTGAGGATGGGGGTCTTCCTGCTTCTCAACGAAATTCTTGCCAAAAATGTCAGACTTCTTTCAATAACTGTGACATTGTTCGAGGAGGCGAAGCCGGTTTACGCGTTGCACGTTGAGACACTGAACAGACCAGGGAGTCGTCAAACGACTCCCTAGATCCCTGGCAGGCTGGCACAGACTATCCTTGCTGATCAGCTGAGTTGTGCGTCAACCAGTGTACTAACGATCATGCTTGGTCACATGGTAGTCCCTTTTTTTTTCTTTTTCGTTTTCAGGCGTGGGCCATCCCCTGAATTCATACTTATACGTGCCAATTCCCAAACAAAAAAAAACAAAAACAAACAAAAAACAAACAAAAAAAACAAAAACAAAAAAGTACATGACTGTAAAAGTACATCATGGTTGTACATTTTGGAATTACTATTGTTATTATTTACATTAGACTGTATTTACAGCCATTTATGAGATTAGACTGTGTTTACGGCCATTTATCTCCTTTCTTCCTGTTGTTTAATTACTGTCCGGCGTGTATTTACCGCCATATTGCCAGGTGCGTGTTTACCACCCTAATTATGAATAAAATACTCAGTTGTCACCTGGTAGTCTACTGGTACCGGTAGATCTACGCGAGTTTTTCCCTCTTGCTTTCCTGCATCATGTGCCTCCGAGGGTGCAGAAGGCTCTCTGGCCAGTCTGCCTTGGCTGTGGGTGATACCTCTGCGGCGCTGGCAGTGGTAGAGGCCCGGGTACCGGCTTAGCGTGCACGAGCGGTAACAGTGACTGGAATATTGACTTGAAGTTGAACTTGCTGCTGTTTACCTAAGTAGGTATATACATTATTATGCTGTTTTTTTCGTGTTTTTTCTTTCTTTTTTTTCTTTCTAGAACTTTCAATGAGTTGAAGTTTTTGGAACACTTGGGAAAAAATATTCATTATGTGTTTATTTTGCCCGTAAAAGAGGCTGAACTAGATCTACGCGAGTACGCGAGTACATGTAAGACCATCTACATGTACAGAGACCAGGGAGTCGATTCCCTATTCTCTGGCAAAGTCGCGGAATTCTCAGTTTGACAAGGGTCCGTCGGTCGAGCTGGGTGCACCCCACTGGCATGGCCCCATGGTCATGGTATGATCCCTACCAATTTGTTATGTTGCTGTTCTTTCCTGCTTCATGTCAAACTGTTCCTTTGTGGTGTTGCTCATTGGTTTGAGGGAAATATGCCAATGGGGAAAAGTCTGCAGTAAAAATTGACTGACACCACCAGGACTTGAACCAGGGACCTTGGCTTGAGGGTTTGTGGGGTAGTGTTCAATGTAAAAATGCTTATTTCGTTCCACACGAACCATTCGCAGCTATACTGTACATGTAGCCTGACCGGCGTTATCTCTTCCACGCGCACTTGTGCAGCTGCTGCTGCTGCTGCTACGTCTGCGGTTAACGCTGCTGCTGCTGCTCGTCTCGTTCTTGTTCCTACATGGTCATTTTCACAAGCAGCGAGTAACACACACACACACACACACACACACACACACACACACACACACACTGTCACACACACACACACCACATCCTCCCATTTCTTCCTGTCCCTGATGGGCCGTTAAGTGACCTGTACTGGCCTGTAGTCAAGCGGAGCGGACACAGACCGTCAGACGCAGTGCCACCTCGGTAGTACGTACGTCACTGCTGCCATGCTGTACTTTATCTGTACTGTACTTTATAATCGAGATTTTTTGTATTTGTATTTATATCATTATCTCATGGCACATCATGATGACGCCCAATAAAACTGAGACAAGGGTGAAAGCCAACCACAGCAGTAAAACAGATAAAAGAATACAACAAAAGATAAGAGGCAAAGAAGGCAAAGGAGGAGACAAACCAGCGGGATATACATGAAACCTATAATTGAGCAGAGATTTTAGCAACAAAATTATCCATCGACGTGCTGGTCTTGGCCTGCGTTGGTAATGTTGCCCAAAACACATAGCCAGCAAAGATCGGGGATCTAGTGAATAGGGTGGAGGCAGCGCGTGGGAGACTGAGTGAGTTCCGAGATCTGTGCACAGTATCAAGAGTACATGAAAACCGGTTTTCATGTACTCTTGATACTGGGCATACATGTGCATAGGTCCTGGTTTTTTTCGGGGTAACGGCCTCTTTTACGGGCAAAGTAAAGTCATGTAGACGTGAAAAAAAATGTTTTTTATTCAAGTACAATACATTGGGAACCTCCAAGAAATTCCACGTAAAACAGACGAAATTCAGTTTTGCATAGATACAGTGTCATGTATAAAGCACACACGAGCTCAAATCACCGGTACAGCCTTTGCAGTATCCTGATATACAGTCAACTTCGCTTATAACGACTGCGGATATAACGACAATTAGCGAATAACGACAGAATTTCCATGCCCAGAGCAAAGTCGCATCCCACTGTAATACATATAATGGGACTTCGGGTATAACGACACTTCGCCAATAAGGACACCTTTTTGATGCCCCGCCGAGTGTCGTTATAAGCGAAGTTGACTGTACATGTATACCCGGTCGTACTAGTGCATCCCACAATACAGGGCACGTTATATCCGGGGGACTAACGTAGTAACGAGTAACGGCACTGTTTCACCTTGTGTCTGCATGCTGTACAAGAACTGTTAGTGTTGTGGCTTGCTTTCCCGAACACCACGTGACCACTGTACATGATGGAATGCCATTATGTGCCGGCGCCAGTGGAGAGGGAACTTCCCAAGTCCCTGTAGCAAAAGCCAGTGGATACTATCCCCTGGCGGACAATGCCTGCAGTTGGGGAGAGTTTGGTAGATGTTCTGATAATGTTTCATTATTTTTTCTTCAGACTTTTCCCGTTTGTCTCTTTCCCTCAAACCAGTTAATATTATTTATTTATTTTTCTTAGTTTGTTAGGGATTTCCCAACAGGCAATGTTGCCTTTTTACTGGGAACCCTAAATGAGACTTTATGTGAGCATGCATGCGGATAAAGAAATGGAGCAGAAAGCATTCAAGGAAGTGCCTGCCATAACGTTTGCACGGTTCACCGTTCAGCCAATTTCATTGCTTTTCAAGCAGAATGTGCCAATCTTTCGAGCGTTATCCGCCATGGGCTAGACTGGATACACGTCAAACAAAAACAATCAGTTGATAGTCAATCTTCTAACAGCTAGCTTGTTCAACCTCCACTTCGGTAATCGCTGTCATCTCATTGCAGGGGCGAGGAATACGCCCAGGTGAAGAAGCTAGGGACGAAATCCACTGGCAGATCCACCACCTTTATCCGACCATTAGCCCTGCGGCGGATAATGCTCGTAAAATTGGCAGACTATGCAAGAAAAGCAGTGCAAGTGGCAGCACCGTACACGCCTTATAAGGGCGCCGGCACTTCTTTGATTTTTGCTCCATTTCTTTATCCGCATACGTAACATTATCCATATAAAAATCGCTCTGTGAGCGGTTCTGAAAAACCTTTACTGGTACTGCCCCGTCGTAAAAGTAAGAAATTAGAACTGGCCCATTGTCCCCCCAAATGCGAACTGATCCACCTAAATCGCGAATGACGGGACCCGAACGCACCAGTAACACGAGGTCGGGAGGGCACAGGATCACGGCAATTATCATAGGGTATACCAGTATTAGTAGTAGAATTTATTATTTTGATAGGGAAGCCTACCGCTAGTACAGTACATGGCCTATGGTCCGGACCAACGTCCCCATCTGCATCCACAGGTAGGAACCTCGTGCTACTGGTGCGTTCGGGTCCCGTCATTCGCGATTTAGGTGGATCAGTTCGCATTTGGGGGGACAATGGGCCAGTTCTAATTTCTTACTTTTACGACGGGGCAGTACCAGTAAAGGTTTTTCAGAACCGCTCACAGAGCGATTTTTATATGGATAATTTCAGCTCTTTTTCCGTTCCCTCCCCACCCCAACCCCGAAGGTAAACATGATGACCACGCACGCGATGTACTGTATGTAGCCATGCGACTGCAATAACACACTGATACATACCAGCCCTCCCCGCCTCGCTACCCCGCACACAGATACACAAACATGTGTATGCACACGGCACACACACGTGGCCACGCACACACACGCACATGCACACGACACAAACAGGAAATTCTTCATGTATAATGCCATGCAAAGCAGTGGCCACCGTACTTGAGGAAGTGAGTTGTGAAACAAAAATAATTCAACTACAGCGTGTAGACAAGCTGACGGCCAAAGCACAACATAGCAAACATG